TCCTTTTCTGTTCGCCTTGAATCCAATGGATCTCGCTGATTCTGACAACTGCCAAGTTGTATTTCTTCATTTGCGCATATATTTGGTTGGTCCTTCCAGTCTCCAACACTTTCTGGACGTCCCATGTACTTGTAGTATTTGTCGTTCTGGTTGTTAGAAGAAGAATCAGCCACATGACTTCCGAAGAATATCGGCTTGCATCATGAGGTGTTACATTTCTTCCTTTAACTTGGAGGGTATAGGTAGTTCTAGAATAATTAATGGTGAAGTATACAATACTAACTGCGTTTAATGTATCAGAAAGAATCAGGACAGTATCTCGTGTATTTTTTCTTGAATTTAAAAGCACAGTGAAAGATGACTCATATTTTATTACTACGTAAAAAAACTGGGAATGTTTGGTTTCTTAAATGTTTAAAAGTGATTTTAAAAAAATACGTATCATGCAACCTGTTATAACGTGAGAAATAAATACTGATTAAGGGGTAGCGAATTATTGATCGGACCAAAGACGCGCAAACACGTAGAACGACCTAGGGTTCTGATTGGTCCCGCTTCCCTGTCTAACCCAGCCGGTTGAGTCCAGAACATATATATGAATCATTATATTTCAAACATACTTTGTTTATATACCAGTCAAGCAGACCACAACGTACCATAAAATAGAAAATAACATTGTACCATAATGGCCAACAGGAAAATAACACGTTAAATAAATATTGACCAATAAGATGATACCATTTCACGTCCAAGGATAGCATTAGGCTTAACAGGATAATTTTTGGGATATTTTCCTGAATATCCCAACACAACCAAAGTTAGATTACAAGAGATCCCTGCTCCTGATGTTCATTGTGTGTTGAAGCATTTTTTTTATTCAGAGTACAGTCAAGAGTGTTTTTGTAAGTAGATAATATCCTTCCACTCTAATTCCTGATTCTAAATCTCAATATTTAATGTTTTAAGTTGCTGAAAAAGAAGTGATGAAGTATTATTGCATCACAGCTGATGTCAGGTGGTGACAAAATCCTCACAGGTTTATAGCCCTAACTCACAACACTAACCCATGTTCTTATATGCAAACTCAACCTTTTTCTTTTAAGATAAGACATAATTTAACATGCAACGGATTGATTATCACATCAAAACCGCGATTTCACTGTAGTTTTATTGTTTTTGTTCTAAAGTTGTTAATTTTTCTGTAACTAGATGTTGTTTTCTGATTGACCAATAAGCCACTCAAGGTCGTCAGTTCGGCATAGTTTTACCGAAGTAATTGTAATTGTAATTGTAATCATAGCTAATGTTGTATATTGTTAATTTTTGTTTTGTTTTGCTTTAAACATTCAGTTCCACATCTTCATGATAGTAATGCTGATAATTACACTGTATTGCTAAGTAAATGGTCAGAATTTTATCTAATGTTCGCTTAATATTTATTCAGCTTTGATTCTACTATTTCCAGGTGCCCCGTTATGTTATACTGATTAGTTACCACATGCCACATATGTTACATATACTATGATTAGAATATTCATACGAAAGCTTTACGTAACATTCACTATTCTAGAATTCTCCTATCGATATTACGATTTTGACATATTATTCATAGATATAAGGTAACAATCGAACCGACATTGACTATCTTAATTTGGGTCAGAACATGTTCAAATGCAAAGATCATAGACCTCATTCAATTCAACTTGTTAGATTGGATTTAGCAATGATTTGCAACGAATTAAGTAAATTTGTCATAAAGCGAAAAGAAGGCACTAGTTTTTCTAATATTTATTATATTTTACGAAAGTGTGTTTTTAAAACAGCATAATGCACTTTCAAGTATTTAGCAATCAAACTGATCTGGAATACAGTTATCAATTACTTTATTGAAGTATACATAATTTTTCAATCAGCACAAAATATTATTGGGAGGATGAGGATTAATGTTAAGTAAACTGAAGTTGAGTGAAATACATTCGTTCAACGAGGTGGTCTTCACCAGATTAATCAATGTCTATTACTAGGTCGAAAACAGAATGCATTCTAAAACATGCATATTTCATTCTAACTGGTCAATACATAACATGAAGAAGTCACGGTTTGATTTGCTGCATGATTTGTTTAAAAGTCTTGAAGTGACACTGAATGTATCTCTCCTTTGTTGTTCTCCGATTTGAATTGTTGGAGGACTCATGATAAACAACCTAATGATCATTCAGTTGAATAAACTAATATCTTTCAACTTGCTTCACACCACTCACTCCTCTCAATGAAAACTTGAACAAATCAATCTTATAACAAAATAATTGTATTCATTTAAGCAGAATAGTTAAGCGAACGTATCTTATTACTACATTTTGTTAGGAGATTAATCAAATGGAGTATAGGGTAAAGACAGAGGGAGAGAGAGAGAGAGAGAGACGGAGAGAGAGAGGAGATAAGGGGAGAAAATAAGTGTGAATAATAATATTTTCATTTGTTAATACAAATCTTGTTAAGCGAAACAAATACTTTCATAATTGTTTTATGACTTCAATCATTGTAAATATATGAATAATAATGTAATTGCTAATTAGATTATCCCTTGATAAGCTTCATTAACAGCCGACGATAATTACTTGGTGTTTCATTCCATAAAGTTCGATCAATAAATAGATTTACCTGGTCGTTTCTTAAACACCAACTACTAAACTAAAATATATTTGAGAAATAAAATTTGTAAAATTATTTTCTTTTATAACGTTTGATCACTTGATAAATGATTTCATTGCACAAGTATTGCATGGTGGAATTTGCTACAAATTTTGACATCAATTATTATCAATGTAGAATATGACATACATTCACATAAGTCGAACTAGTATGCCACAATTGAACACTGGGATTTACTAAGATGAAAGATAATCTAGTGGAAACAATAGTGCGAGATTAAATATGAAGGTTCTTGTTTGATTGATTCATTTCCGAAGTGATCTGACGTCAACATCAAATCAAACAAACACGCACACATCTATACATGGATGCAGGATGGTCTAGTCTTCTTAGAACTGTATTTCGAAACATGTCGAAACTCTTCAATTTAACCTTAAAACCAGGTTTCAGCAACATGTAATACAACCATGAAATTTCTGTGTCAATTGTTAGCTGACGAACACCTGAACTTTGAAAACAAGTTCATCCTGTTAACGCTGATTGGTTCAGTCATGGTTACTGGTGCAACACACCCTGATCAAGCTAATCAATTTCTATTTAACACTGATTAAATGTATTTACCATTGTAAAACGCTTGACACAACTTGTTTTAAGAAAAACTCGACTAAGTGAGAATTGTCATTGTTTTCGGAAACATTTTGAAATTTGGTGAAACAATAGACTGTGAGACTGCAAATGTGATGTGTGCACCCTTAGACATGAACGTAGAAGTTTTTCGAGAAGCATTTGGTTGAAGCAATAATACTTAGTAATTTTCAGCACTATTGTTCACACAGATTTCCATGGGTTATAGATTAACACGGAAAAATAATTTTCAATTTAAAGCAAATAAGTTTACCGTGGAATGTAAATCATTCATCATATTTGGCTTGTGAAGATAGTTGAACTCGATCAAAATCACGAATTGATACAATTCAGACAACTAATGAGTATTTGACAGCACTGGACTGTTATTTCGTCGAACTATGGAACTCTCCAATGAGAATGCCTAATTATTGGGTTTTATTTGTTTCTGTTTTGTTGTTGGTATTCATGGAAGACACTTGATGATTTCCGTATAAGTTTGTAGATTGATTGAAATGAGACTTGTATTTCCTCGGATCCGGTCACATACGTCTAGATTTTAAAGGTTTATGCGTGATATCGAAATATCTGTATTCGATTACCGACTCTTGGATTCATACCGATGAGGAGTCAGTCACATAATTGGACAGAATGATCATCTATTGATCTTAGTTTTCCAAGAGTTGCCTTATTTCAGTCCATTCGTGATTTAAAAGAAATACATCAATGTTGAACATGCAGTAAAGTGACATAAATTAGAATAAATTATCATCCAATAAATATTATTCACACTTACATCTATGCATTCATCCAAAGTTTTTCCTTTTATTTTATAAAACTCATTCATGATATTTTTCAAATCAATTTCACAACGACTGACAATAATACGTATAAGTGCTTTATCAGCTGTTTCAGCACATTGCATGGCTTTGAATAATTTTTCTGCAAAATATCTTGGTTTATTTTGTATACAACGAACTAAAATCCAATTCAATGAATGTGATTGAAATAAATAAAATAGAGAAAATTTAATGATCATTATTATTATTATTATTATTATTATTATTATTATATATAGCTCATATACACAGTGCCTTCTCGCGACGGGGATGTTGCTAACGAAATTGATGGAATGAAAAGTGAATGTTGGGCCCTTCGACCGGGTTCATGAACACGGAGAGTTTACCTAAGGGAGTTGAAAAACCATGATTCCAAACCAATTGTGCACATGGGCTCCAAGATCCTGAAGGGAAAAATGGCGTATGAAGATATCGTTGGTCACCGTCTGCCATAGGACTGCATCTCCATACGTTGCTTCACTGTCTTGTGGATTAGACCTTCAGGTCAAAGGTTCCAGCTGCGACCCCCTATAAAAACCACGTGCTGCTGTTTGGGCACCCGGACAGTATTTCAGCCCTTGCACAAATCGAATGATTTATATAGCGCATATCTCTTTGGTGGTGCTTCCTTATAACTATGTTTATGTGTTTAAATAAATAAATAAATAATAGTTTACTGATCGATAATGTACGTTTCCTTCCACAGCAAATCTCATTTCAAGTTATTACATGAATTAATTAATCCTATCGCATCACAAATTCTGTTTTTCAGTCAATAAGCGTGAATCATTCAACTATTTACTCATTTGAACTTGAATTTATATAAACATTATATAAACATATACAAACATTATTGTAGTATATAGCAAAGTAAAGTAAAGATTTATGTTCTGGAGAGTATCCTCATTGTAGGACAGGAACTTGGTGACTTCACTAAAATAAGTCAATTACCTAGTTATGATGCTATGAATAGACAAATTAAATAGTCAGGGATAGTCTACTAAGTAATCTGGATCTAGATTTCATTGTTACCATAGTTTGTTTGGAAGGCATACCTGAAATCTTGAGGGGACCTCAAACCATGGGGGATTCGAACCCGTCTCTGGGGCGTTACCAACGAGTTATTTGGGTCGCGGCTAATATAATCACAGTAATTAATAACTGAATGATCAACAGTATCATTTTATCCAGCTCTTATTGCTGATTGCTAGCCTTGCTGATGAGTGAGTATCAACTAGCACGAAACCTAGTCCCAAGGTTCCACGCTGACTACTTTTAAACAAACTACATCGAAACGCAGTGCATGCACTATTTGACTTACTTAAACTAATACGAATAATAGAATTTCTCAACCGATAGAAATTGGGAGACAGTAACGACCAAACTAGCATGACACTGGACAGCAAACTCTGACCAATCAATACAGGGATTATAGTTGTTCACCACAAATCAGATATTAATTGGAATAATACAACTACTATTTAATTCCCAAGTGATTACATAATGCATTAACTAATCCCAAATTAGATTAACTCAAGTCATAATTATTAATCGGACACGCAATTTCTCGAAAAGAAATGTTTAACATTACTTACCCATAGAAAGTAGAGCACTGAGTGTATTTCCACGCATTCTGAACTTTAAAGTATCTTCCATAGTTTGTTCAGAAATTCGTAAATATTCATCGAATACAACTCGTAAGTGAGCATAAGATCTTGAAGCCAATATAAGAATGAATCTAATATGTATAGGTATGTTGAAAGAAAAAAAGAAGGATTATGGTTAACAGTTTGCTGAAAGATTGCGCTGTATGTTGCATCAAACTGATTCTTATTTGTTGGACCATTGCATTCACTTAGATAATTTTTAACAGATGTCATTTTCAGATAATGGGACAGATATGTTGATAAAAAGTATGTAATATGACCAACCTATATTACACTTTATGGTACTGAGTTCCAACCTTCTACCTGCTATTTCAGATGGTTTTGATTCAATCAAACACATTTCAATCATTCATGAAGTCTGTTCTCCAATATTCAATCATTTTGTTCAAATTCACACCAATTACTCTAGAATCACATATAATATTCGACAGTGATAATGGTTTGAAACGTTTTTAATTAAACAACGTCATAGTCACTTAAAGCAGAATTCGATTTACAATTGTGACAAATTCGAATACAAGAATGGATTCTGCAATAAAATTTATATTTTTCAGCGACTTCGTTGGGTAAACTTAAACATATCTTCCTCACTTGTTGTCATCTTAATGTACTCAGCATAAGAGATATTAAAGTGAAGATGTTTAGTAATCTATCGTAACAATGAGGGTAAGTTATCTTCAGAGTTAGGTGACAAGAGGCCTTTTTTGTTAGGAGAGTACATTATATGATTTAACATAAATATAAACAATATAAAAACTTGGCTTGATTACGTACAGATCTAAACTGTTCCATTCCATGCTGGAATACTTGCTTACTTATTTACGCCTGTTACTCCCAATGGAGCATATGACATCAACCAGCATTCTCCAACCCACTCTGTACTGGGCCTTCCTTTCTAGTCCTATCCAATTCTTGTTCATTCTTCTCATGTCTGTCTCCATTTCTCGGTGCAATGTGTTCTTTGGTCTTCCTCTTCTCCTTTGGCCTTGAGGATTCCATGTGAGGTCTTGCGTTGTGACACAGTATGGTGCTTTCCTCAATGCGTGTCCTATCCACTTCCAGTGCTTCTTCCTGATTTCTTCCTCCTCTAGACTATGGTTTGTTCTCTCACACAGTAGGTTGTTGCTGATAGTGTCTGGCCAACGAATCCGAATTATTTTGCATAGACAACTGTTAATAAACACCTGTATCATGTGGATGATGGCTGTCGCAGTTCTTTGAGTCTCCGCTCAATACAGTAGAACTGTCTTGATATTTGTATAGAAAATTCTGACCTTGGTGTTGGTTGACAGTCGCTTTGAATTCCAGATGTTCTTCAGTTGTAAATAGTCTGCTTTTGCTTTGCCAATCCGCTCCAGGAGGAGTTTCATATTGGAATAGTTAGAGAAAATCAAATCACTGATACCATTTGTAAGAAGAGAGATAATGTTTCTATTTGCACGATTATTAATAACTTTAAATCACATCATGATGATTACATTTGAGCTCTATTAGTCTTCCTCTTTAAATTATCACCATGCCAATTTAAAGATCTGTTCATTTTATAGTTGGATCATGTGTAACACAAGTTCCAAATATGTCAATCAATGCATGTTCACAACTTCATTAATCAGCTTATCATCTTTGATTGAAACTCTTTACCTACCATTAGCATCATTCAGTGAATGAAGCATTTATATTCAAATACATAGTCCAATGGCAAATTACTACTTGCAAGTTGAATCCTCTCTCAATATATAATCTCTTATAAAACTGTAAATATTGAGTTTTCAAGTCAAAATCCAATAAATTAATTAACAGCTATGTAAGATTTTCTTAAACCAACTATTATATGTTGAATAAACAACACACTTACTTTGATTCATCTATTCTAATGTTTTGTTGTATTGTATTAAATAATTCTTCTACATCTCTTTGTACAAGATTTCTATCTACAAATGTAAATTCATCTCTATCCGCCTTTAATAGACTCATGAATATATGTTTGAATTGATGTGTAATCTGATTGTTTACATCATTCACCAAATCACATCCATCGAATACTGAAATTTTAATGAATAAACATTTATTTATTTATTTATATCGGAAGGATTGTTGTGAATATTATAGTAATTTTAATAGTTGAGATCATGAGTCAATTGAAGCTAGACCACCATGGAAAACCTGGAAGCACTGCACAGCCGTGTCGATCAATTTTCTGGATGAGTTGAAGTTAGACATTAACATCGTTGAACCCCAGCCAGCTCAGCAATCTAGAGGTTAGGAGTTCGTGCGCGATACTGATAAGTCGTGAGTTCGAGTCTCCCGAGGCAGGATCGTAGATGCGCACGGCAGAACAGTTTATCGTGAAGTTCTTACAAATTTCAAACAGTTGAAATGAATCACAGTGAATCTTCCTCATAATTACTCACCATATTCAGTAACTCATGACAATCTTAATTTTGAGAATAAATACAAAACATATTTGATCATTTTATAAACTAATAACTTACATTTTGGATAAACATTCTTAATTCTTCTGATTTGTTCATTTGTTCTTGTACAAAGAATTTCAATTATTGTATCTTCATCAGTATCAGTTCCTCTCATTGCTCTATGAAGTTCTATTGCATCAAATTCTGCTGGTGTATAGCACAACGCAATCAAACAATCTTTTAAACATCCAGTTAATTTAGAATTAAATATGGCGAATAAATTGTCCTTATACAGAGATTTATATTTTTGTAGAATCGCTGTACGTTGAACAACAGGTCGACGACCCATTACTTCAACGATTTCTTTTTCTCTTATCTTTAATCTATCCAGAGCACTCTGCAGACGTTCACAGTCATGTTCAACACAGAAATTTCCTTTAGGTGTTAATGTTGGTTTCATCTAACATTAGAAGAATGGATATTTACAAGTAAGTAAATTGTAGAATCTAGTTAAAAGGCAGAATAATAAATAAGAACTTTCGTCTAAATTTGAACGAATAGTTTCACAATATTTGGACGCCGAGTTAATGTGAGTCATTAAAAGAGGAATAATACATATTTGTAAAATCTCAGCGGAAGAATTGAATTAAATCCAACGTTTCGCCTGGCAATCTGGTCCAATCTTTTTCAAGGAAAATGGTTTTGTGGTTTAATTTATAATTTGTATTCGTCGAGCTATCATTGAAAACCTGGAGAACAGAAGGTTCGTACTGTTCAGGAATCCCAAATTAGGATGCTCTTTTTTCAGTGGTATCCCAACCGAGATCAACTTTGATGAATACAACCTAAAGAGTATCGATTCGTTCCACTAAAATTCTTTACATTTGCATGTATTGTTTATTTAATATTTGTCACTCACTTGAGTTAATGACCAACATATTTCAATGAAATAAATATAAAGTAGACGCAATGACAACAATAGCATATGGATATGATAATCTAATTTTTTGAAACCTTGGATTTTACAAGATTCGTCAGTGAATGGACCATGTTCAATATACTCAAACGATCTTAGGATTTAGAATCGTTTACTTTTGCTTTTGTTCCTCACATGTACAGTATACACATGTGAATATATACTCAAGTTGAACACACTAGTCAAGTGTGAACTGAATAAAATAATCATCTCAAAAACTCTTGTTAACATAAAAATAATCTGCTACAGACCTTCTCTCACTTGTAACAGGCACAAATGGCAATGGTTTTAAAATACAAGAAAAGTGACGAGATAGATATAATGAAAAAGTGTCTTTTAATGTTACTTCCATGTTAACAACTACACAACTACATAATAGTTGAGGTAAACTTTTGACAATCATATAATACAAACAATCTTCTTCACATTCACATTAAATAACCCATCAATATAATTCAGCGATAATTTCGATAGCCTACAATATCCAATCTAGATAATTCAGGTGATCTCAGTCGACTGATCATAATTAGGATTGGTGTTTGTACTAACCGATGATTCATTTGTACTTGATTGTGCTCTCATTGCGAATTACTAATGTAATACATTCAGTTATGCTCATCTGGTTCCACCTGTCTTAAATTGCACTATTTCGCGAATTCCTAGTTAGCGAATCAATTCGAATGCTTCTAATTATCTATCACATTAGAACAGCTGTGATTAATATCGCATTATGTGATAAAAATAAATTCGAAACTACTCTGTAAACACATGTGACGACTATCTGACAACTCAGCATTACTCAACAGCAGTCTTGTATGTTTGTAACGACATGCCTATATTAAAGAATTTATACAAAGTTAATAAATAGACTGAAATACCTACGAACATTTGTCTGAGTTATGATAATTTACTGCTTTAATTGAAAAAAACACCCTGAATTCTTCAAACTACATCAACTAAGAAGTGACTGGATACATCTTCAGGTATTATGGGAGCATTGCGTCGTACATTATGTCTGTTCTTAAAAATATCTCCCACAATGATGTTCGTATTTCCAGATTATCTAGGCCGACCAACCGCTCACTCGAACAATCCACTCACTTAAATAAATCTCAACAAATTAAAAGATACGGGAAAGAAGGCCATGAAATTCATGAAATCTACCAACATTCACAAATTCATAGGCCATGAAGTCATGAAGAGGAAAGTAGTGGAAATATTTGTAGACTATGCACCACACAAGTAAAATAAATTCGGTTTGTGACTCAAAAGTTATGTGCACAATTAATTCATTGAACAGTCAATGAAAATGACTTGAGAGCTGTTCGAACGAAACTAATTATTCAACTAATAACAATAACAATATTAATAATGGCAACATACTATATCTTCGTGTGGAGCTGATTCAGCGAACCCATAAACTCTGGAAGAGACAGAAAACTCATTCGACTGAGATGAAATCGGAGTAGGGAAATCGTTAAACATCGGGTATACAGATCCTTGATTCGTGTTCACTGGGTTGCTACCAAATGAACTTCCACCTGATGGTGGTATAGTTGGACAATAATTTGTTTGGAGATTTTGTGAATTGGGATTTCCAGAAATATAAGGACTTTGCATTTGACGTGCATAATCGATATTGAATGAGGTTGTACCTGGTAGATATGATGTAGCAGATGGATTATTGCTATAAGAAGGATTTGTATAACCTTGTTGGCTTGAAAATGGACCAGCTGAATTGTTCAGACTGTGGTCGGAGAAACTATCTTGTGCACTGACCGGTATCTGATTAAAATTTGTTTCTGATTGTCCAGGATACTCACTCATTTTAGATCCCATGTTTTCTTCTGTACATCCATCTGTGCTTGAATCCACTGAGCTTCCTGATGACGAATTAGAAGGTGGTATTTCTGTACATCCCTTAGAAGTCATTGTCGGATGTCTTGTATGAAGATGTTGAGAATCGTTCCACTCAGAGCGATTAAAAGCATCCAAATCCATTTGTCAAGCTGTCTCAATTCAACAGACCATAGATTGATATTTTTGTTGATGTCACTAGCATATTGAATTAGTTGGTTAAGATGAACATGTAACTGTAGGAGGATTGGTTAAACTAACCACATAAATATCAAACGACCTTCATAGTGTCAGAAGATTTTCATAGTCAAAACAAAACAAATATTTTAACGCATTTTCGTGTTAGTATCGTTCAGTATTGTAACTTTTGGACTATTCCAATAGGTTTATGAAAGTTTAAAAGTCTATCTAGTGAATAATAAGTTTATCAATGATTAACAAGGTTTGCTAGCTCATTTGTGATTTGGACCATCATTTCTAAATTTAATCAATGGCATGAAGATGCGTGTGTATATGACATGGTTTATAGTTCTATTGTCAACTACCAAAACTTTTATTTATTTTACAAAATATAACGTTTATAAGTGATAAGACAATCATATTTTTCAAATGAAAATGATACTATTCAAATATCTAAGCTAAATATGTAATTTAATGTAATACTTATTTGTAGTCTTGAGAGAACTAATGCTTCCTATAGGATTTGAACAAGCGTGACCCAGCTTCACAGTATTTGACATGACTTCAAATCTTCACGAGGCATTGTTAAACAATTTAATAATCACTAGTAAAATTTCTCTTTCAAAACTTCACGAGGCATTATACATTTTAGCCCCAATTCATTTCACAAAATCTGTTAGGGATCCAAAATTTTTATAATAACTTGGTAATCTTAAGCTCAGAATAACAATAAAAACCCTATTATTATTTATTCATGACATGACTTACTTACTTAATTACTTACGCCTGTTACTCCCGACGGAGCGTATGCCATCAAACAGCATTCTCCAACCCACACTATACTGGGCCCTCGTTCCTAGTTCTATCCAATTCTTGTTCATTCTTACCATGTCTGTCTCCATTTCTCGGTGCAATGTGTTCTTTGGTCTTCCTCTTCTCCTTTAGCTCAGAGGATTAAATGTAAGGTCTTGCGTTGTGACAGTTCGGTGCTTTCCTCAATTTGTTTCCTACCCACTTCCAGTACTTCTTCCTGATTTCTTCATCCTCTGAGATCTGGTTTGTTCTCTCACACAGTAGGTTGTTTCTGATAGTGTCTGGCCAACGGATCCGAATTATTTTGTAGAGGCAACTGTCAATAAACACCTGTATTTTCTGGATGATGGCTTTCGTAGTTCTTTGAGTCTCCGCTCAATACAGTAGAACTGTCTTGACATTTGTATAGAAAATTCTGACCTTGGTGTTAGTTGACAGTTGCTTTGAATTCCAGATGTTCTTTAGTTGTAAATATGCTGCTCTTGCTTTGCCGATTCGCGCCTTCACATCTGCATCAGATCCACCGTGTTCATCAATGATGCCACCCAAATGTGTAAAGGCTTTTTCATCTTCTGAATCTTCCCCGTTAATTGGGATTCGATTGTTGCATGCTGTGTTGTATCGGATAATCTTTCTTTTTGCTGAGTCAACTTTCGGAGAACGTCAACGGAGCCTGCAGAGGCCCAAAAGGAGCCGAAGAGTCCTAGCCAATCAGAGCATGATGGAGCACACTAGAATTCCAACGTGGCATGCTAATATTGGTCAGTAGAATAATATGTCGTTAACGGATTGGCAGAAATATGATGTTGATTTAACAAACGCTAATATCTATAAATACCCATGATTTTCTGTACAAAAACGAACCTTGGAATAAAGTATTTCTCTCATAATTTGCGTCTTCTCTCTGGTGTTCAGGTCGCTGTGTAGTTCTAGCTTGCGGGTTACCAGAATAGCTTAGGAAACGAATATAGTGTTCAATCGACAAGACTTATCACTTTTCCTTTTGTGTATATCGAGACCTACTGCTGCTGAGTTTTCTGATATACTGGTCGTCATCTCCTGCATTTGTTGTTGCGTTTGCGATACGAGGGCCAGATCATCTGCGAAGTCTAGATCGTCCAACTGCATCCTAGATGTCCATTGTATCCCGTGTTGCCCTTCAGACGTTGACGTCTTCATGATCCAGTCGATCACCAGGAGAAAGAGAAAGGGTGAGAGTAAGCAACCTTGCCTGACACCGGTCTTCACTTCGAACGACTTTGTCAACTCTCCTCCATGCACGATTTTGCAGTTCAATCCATCATAGGAATTCTCGATGATATTGACTATCTTCTGAGGCACGCCGTAGTGTCGAAGAAGCTTCCATAGTGTTGTTCTGTCCACGCTATCAAGTGCTTTTTCGTAGTCAATGGAGTTGATGTAGAGTGATGAATTCCATTCAATTGATTGTTCTACAATGATCCGTAGAGTTGCGATTTGGTCTGTACACGATCGATCCTTACGGAATCTTGCCTGTTGGTCTCGAAGTTGGGTGTCTACACAGTCCTTCATCCTGTTCAACAATACCTTGTTGAAGACTTTTCCCGGTATTGAGAGACGAGTGATACCCCTGTAGTTATCACAGTTGTCGAGATCGCTTTTCTTCGGTATTTTGATCAGAAGTCCTTCTTCCCAGTATGTTGGTACTTGTTCCTCATCCTTAATCTTATCGAAGAGAATGTGGAGTATCCTTGCAGTTACCGCTATGTCTGCTTTCAGTGCCTGTGCTGTAATCTTTTCTGGTCCTGCTACTTTGCCACTCTTGATTTGTCTGGTCGCCATACTGATCTCTTCAATTGTTTGTGGGCCAACACTGATTGGGAGGTCCGTGGGTGCTGCTTCGATGTTGGGTGGGTTCAGTGGAGATGGTCGATTCAAGAGTTCTTTGAAGTGTTCTACCCACCTGTTTCGCTGTTCTCCAATGTTGGTGATTACTCTGCCTTCCTTGCTTTTCACTGGTCGTCCTGGCTTACGGTGATTTCCAGAGAGTTTCTCTGTTATGTCATACAGTTCTCTCATGTTTCCTTCTCTTGCAGCCTTTTCCGCTGTCGTTGCTAAATCTTCCACATATTTACGTTTGTCAATTCTGATGCTCCTCTTCACGTGCTTGTTTACTCCTGTGTATTCAGCTTGTGCCTTGTCTTTTTCAGCTCTTGTTCAGATGGCTTTGATTGCTGCCTTCTTGCTCCTCCTTTCTTGAATCGTATCCAGTGTATCAACAGTGATCCATTCCTTGTGATGGTGCTTCTTGTGGCTCAGAACCTCATGATATGTTGAAGTGATTGCCTCTTTGTCCCCTTCCAGTCGCTCTCCTCCATAGTAGTTCCTTCTCCGTTGAGTAGATCGTGAAAGGCCTGGAACTTAATGCTGATGGCTATCTTGAATTTGTTGAGTTTGTCAGTATCCGGAAGAAAAGCCGTATGGAACTTTTGTGATATTGTCCGGCCTGTTGTCCAGTGCTTCTTGAGTTTCAGTTTCATCCTGGCGACCAGCAAGTGATGATCTGATGCTATATCAGCTACTCTCTTGGTTCTCACGTCCTCTATAGTCCTCCTGAACGTTTTGTTGATGCAGATATGGTCGATTTTGTTCTGCGTGGTGTGATCCGGTGAAGTCCATGTGGTTTTGTGAATGCGTTTATGTGGGAATATGGTGCCCCTATGACCAGCTTATTGAAGGCACATAGGTTTGCAAATCTCTCACCACTTTACTTCCTTTCTCCCATTCGGTGTCGTCCCATGATGTCTTCATATCCAGTGTTGTCCATTCCAACCTTAGCATTGAAATCTCCTATCAGAATGGTCAGATCCTTTGTTGGGCACTTCTCAACGATTGACTGCAGCCTATCGTAGAATTGATCTTTAGCGTTTTCATTGTAGTCGTTTTTAGGCGCATAGCATTGGATGACGTTCATTGAAATGCCTTCTTTAGTTGTTTTGAAGGAAGCTTTGATGATCCTTGGTTCATGAGATCCCCATTCTGAAAGTGATTTTTTGTGCTTGCTTGGACAGCATCAATGCAACTCCTTGTGTATGTGGTGCATTTTCTCCTTCATGGCCGGAGTATAACGGAGACTGTCTTGACGCTAGTCGTTGTTGTCCAACTTGTGTCCAATGTGTTTCACTGATCCCAAGCACCTCTAGGTTGTATCTCCTCATTTCTGCAGCAATTTGGAAGACTTTCCCAGCCTCCCATATTGTACGAGCATTCTATGTACCTAAGTAAATGGTTGCTCTGGTTGTCAAAAGGGGCATCGGCCTCGTGATTTCCGAAGGAACTCGGCGTTCACCATGAGGCGTCATAACTCTTCTAAATGAAAACCTTGTAGTGACTCACGTTTATCACGAGAACACGACTGGTTTAATAAAAACAATTATTATTATAACCAACTGTACCAGTGTTTGTTTTAATGTGCTTTTGTTTGACTGTGCTAATGACAGCTATTTTGTGCTTCCATTCTTTACTTACACTTCGATTGTAACTTCGCGCGAATTCGGTTACCTTCTGTAACCAAGGTTGTATCCTGGCACGATCTCGGTATCCTTTCGATGCCACGAGATCGCCAGCAAATAAACATCGACTTGGTCCATTAATTGCCTTCTGGTATTTGGCTTCTCGGGGATTTTATGGGTTTCTTTGGTACGGCCAACCCTCGCCTTCTGATTCGCTTTGGCACGTGTTTCTTGGTAGCGGTGTTCATAGTTAACCTCAACTCGACGCCACGCTACAATTGGTGACCCGTATTTTGGAACACGCCTCAACTTCTGATCAAATCTTCCAAAGAAGCCAATTCGGTGAGTCTATGATTTATCTATCCACGTCTGTCGTATATTTTCATATTTTTTAATATATAATATACGCGACATGACGGATAACGATAAGAATAGTATTAATATAATAGACTCACACGTATGTGTACCGAATCCTTGTCACTTTTTATTCGCGTGATGATGAATTCCACGCTTTATTCGAGAAATGTTACCCTATTAACTATTCTCCTCGCTGACCCGGCTGCTTGGTACGGAATGCATACGCATAAGCATATCCGTCTACCACCCAGCACCAAATGGTTAAGTAAACGGTTTCACTGCCAACTTAAAAGTGTTCTACGAGCACACGAAAACGGCAACTGGCACGAAACCTTACCGCTCGTTCTTTTAGGGATCAGAACGAGCTTAAAGGCAGATATCCAATGTTCCGCCCTGAACTTGTATACGGCACGACATTGCGTCTGCCCGGAGAATTCTTCACACCACGGAGCAGACCTAATTTCGGTAAATCAGACTACGTCCATCGACTGTCTGCATTTATGCGAACGCTGTCTCCGGTGTCAACTCGAATACAACATCGACAGGTCGCTCTCCCTCGAGAGTTATCTACCTGTTCACATGTTTTTGTACGAGTAGATTCGGTACGCAAACCTTGGCAACAACCTTACGAAGGCCCTTTTCACGTGATCGCTCGTCACGAAAAGACCTTCAAGGTTGATCGATATGGACGCGTCGAGATCGTCAGCATTGATCGTCTCAAACCAGCACACGTCGATGACAGTGCCCTATCTGATAACCTGAGATTCAATGCTAGACCTATCAAACCTAGCGGGATCCTTAAATCTTCTTCAGGTCCCACGCTAGATACATCTGAGACCTCATTCTCACGTCCCAGTCAACAGCACGCGTCATCTGCACCGTCTACGGACGAGACGACAGTCTCACGTCCAGATCAGCAGACCACGCCGCCCTTGACTTCGGATGAGATTGCAGGCTCACGCGACGCGAACGAGACTACCGTCTCACGTTCCGGTCGCCGAGTACGGTTACCCGTACGCTTCCGCGACTAGTCGCACAGTCAACAACCGATACGGTGTAGGATTATTCCTATACTACACGCATGCTACACTCTTCTTTTTTGATTTTCTTTTTGTTTCCTGAGCCCACGCCTTCGACCATCTCCGTTTGGTTCCGTCGACTTCAGTCAACTTTGGCGAAAGCTGGCCTGATCACCCATGCTCTTGTCAACGCACTCAGTCGATATATTGGTTTCGAATGCTTGGCACACGCTTGGTCTCGAACTTGGTCGTTACGGTCGCTTCTGGTCTTTTGGCTCAACGTGGTTTCGTCCTACGTCTGCAGCGTTTCTGGTGCGCACCTCTACGAACGCCCTCTTCAGATTCTGGATACAAACCACTCTGGTGTAGCATGCCAACTCAAGCAATAAATACAACACATCGCTCCTGGTACCGTTCTCCGAAAACGACCTTCGTTGGCAACTCGACGATCAACGATCGCTTTCCTGTTCGCCAATTCTTCCGTCCTACAATCGCTCGTCAGCCGATCAGTCCCACGATTCAAACCGCTATTTATCGAAAGTGTAAACCCTTTCTAGCGGGGGGCTCCTGTAGTGACTCACGTTTATCACGAGAACACGACTGGTTTAATAAAAACAATTATTATTATAACCAACTGTACCAGTGTTTGTTTTAATGTGCTTTTGTTTGACTGTGCTAATGACAGCTATTTTGTGCTTCCATTCTTTACTTACACTTCGATTGTAACTTCGCGCGAATTCGGTTACCTTCTGTAACCAAGGTTGTATCCTGGCACGATCTCGGTATCCTTTCGATGCCACGAGATCGCCAGCAAATAAACATCGACTTGGTCCATTAATTGCCTTCTGGTATTTGGCTTCTCGGGGATTTTATGGGTTTCTTTGGTTACGGCCAACCCTCGCCTTCTGATTCGCTTGGCACGTGTTTCTTGGTAGCGGTGTTCATAGTTAACCTCAACTCGACGCCACGCTACAACCTTCTGACTCCCAGCGCAGAGTTTAAAAAGTTTGAGTAATTTTTTCTGGCTGGAGTTTTGTTGTGAGTTAGTTTTCTACGAGATGGGGACACTAACCCCATGCCCAACCCTCTTCCTTTATCCGGGCTCGGGACCGGCAGTAGCCCCCTGAGGGAGTCCAGGCGGAGTTTCATGACATGATTGGCTAGTATCAATTTGAAATAGGTAATTCATTCACATTACTCAAGGATCTTCATTTAATCAAGCTTTACTAGATAAAAATGCTTAGTGGGTTCATAACTGTAGAGCCTAATGATGAAGCTATTGTACACATGTGTCCTCTTAAATGTTTCTTGTCTGATTGCGAATCTTAATCTGGAAATATATGATGTAATAAATTGAGATAAATATCAAATAACTGTATTTCAGATGTTCACATGTAGTGAATCTTATCCGAGTTAGTAATACTATGAAAATTATCATTGTTCTAGACTACTGAAGATATTTACATATATTACATATATTCTGGGAAATGTTTACATCTTAATAATCGTTCTCCATTAATTTTTTAAACAAACGTACTACTCAACGGCAATAAGTAACATGTACCTTTTTACAACAAAATAATAAAATAAATGGTAAATGTCACGTTCTGACTTACTTACTTACTCCTGTTACTGTTAGTGAAGGAGCGTAGGCCGCTCACCAGCATTCTCCATTCAACCGTGTCCTGGGCAATCCTTTCTAGCTCCTTCCAGTTGTTATTCATCCTTTCCATATCTGCTTTTAGTTCCCGACCTAATGTGTTCTTTGGCCTTCCTCTTTCGCGCCTTGCTTCAGGATTCCAAGTTGGGGTTTGTCTCGTGATACAGTTTGACGATTTGCGTAGTGTATGTCCTATCCATTTCCAGTCACGTTCTGAGATGCATAAATATACATTCGTTTAAGTCATTATCTATTTATCAAGAATTAATAGTAAGTAAGAAAATGGATGATTAAAGTGGGAAAAGCTTATTGAAGCTTGTAGAGTACAATAACATGTATGGCTTTTAAAATCAGAGGAATAGTGATGGTAAATGTAAACTCATGTCTGTATCATTCCAAAAAGTTGAAATTTAAATAATTCCGACCATTCAACTTGCAGTCTGATCAGAGCTTCGTAAATATTATGTTAATTCGAAGTAAAAAGTACTTTCTTTCACCGAGTATTCAATTTCATCATTATTGTCTATCTGAAGTTAATAAATGATTGAGAAGAACTGAGATTTAAGCATTCACTTTACTCTACATTAAAAATTGTGTAAGAATCATCTATAGTTAAACTGTTATACATAACATTTAAGGTTCCAATGGCCTGTCATATCATTTATGCATATTTTTTAAGATGATTAGATAATTATAATGCAAGACTCTGGATACAAAATGTATTTCTACAAGTTGTAGTGTGATGAGTTCTACTGATGTCGACAGATATAAGTAGTATGTATCATCAATCGAAAGTGAAATGTCTGGTGGTAGAAGGTTAAGAAAGTCGAAGAGAAGAGAAAGAGAATAGGAAGTGTTTGGTGTGGAAACGAAGGAACAATCAAGGCTGAGACAATTGACGGGTATTTTGCAGATGAACAATTTACTGTATGGTTCTCAGATTTTGCTAAGAGATTCTGTAATTTTGTATTGAAATATATTTGGTTGTCCTCGCTCGTGTTCCAGTTCACTATAGTAGTACTTCAGAATGTTCACCATGATACGAAATGTAGGGAAAGGAAACTCAAGAAAATACAATATGAATAAGTCATTCAAGACTGTTGTGTTCTCAGACTGGCGGTCAGAATCACATTAAAAGCTACCAAAGAGAATCCTGATTCTAATTGGGTCTATTTGGTGTCTGTTAACTGATCCAATAGCTTGGTATCTCTGACTTGACCAGTTAAACGTTTGTTGAGGCTAGTTTCCTCTATATCTGACTCCAATAAATGATATCCCGTTAACTGAGTATTGTAGGTAGGCTAAATCTCTCAGTAGGATTAAGGATTTATTCGAGATTATTCAGAAGCCTGAACACCAATTGTAGAGATATTTTTATTGTTAAAGATAAATAAAATCCACAAGCGTACAGAGAGCAAGCACACTGTGAATCCACGAGAGTGTGTGTGTATGTATGCCAGTTAAAAATCCATATATATATTTGAGTGTCAATCAAGTATGGATAAATTATCAGAATGGGTTTTGTGGAGTTTTAGAAATTTCACAGGTTGAAATCATGAGTTCATTGAAGCTAGACCACCATGGAAAACCTGGAAGCACTGGACGGCCGTTTCGTCCTAGTTTTGAACTCCTCAGCAGTGCGCATCCGCAATCCTGCATCACGCGGGGTTCGGACCCAGGACCTACTGGCTTCGCGAGCGAGCACTTAACCACTAGACCACTGAGCCGGCATCCAGGATTTCCATGGTGGTCTAGCTTCAATCGACTCATGATTTCAACCTGTGAAATAATACAATAGTTGAATGGGCTTGTTACATAAGCTCCCATCCAGAACATAGATATTTTGATGGTTTTGGTTTTGATTATTACCCTGAAGAAGTCCAGACAAGTTAGCTGGATGAAACGTTGGAACTAGTTAAATTTCAATCGCTGAGAATATTTTAAATATAATTTTCACGTATAATGACTTCTCTATACTCGGCGCCCAATTACTGTCAAACTATTCGTTCTAATCTTGACGAATATTCGTATAAATTGATGTTTTTATTTACAAAAAAAATATTTTTATTAACATCCATGTTCGACAAAGAGACAAAAAAACTGAATTGTTTTTTAAATAAATGTACAACTCGATATGATGAGTAAGCTTTAAGCTGTAATAACAGCTTGTGTGTTGAAACGTTTTATATTATGTATATATAAATGTATATTTAACATCAACGAATTGCATCAAATTAAAATGTAAGCATAATGATGATCCTTGAGGCCAACAAAAAAATAGTAATGAAAATAAAGAGGGATTTTTGTGCTATGAGAGCAATCTCAGGACTTGGTCTAGATAAACATGGTGGTTGCTACATACCTATCTGGCCAGTATACTCTTCTTCCTGATCTTGTTGTAGTTTGTGCTGCTGCTGAACTTTGATGTGAAGTATTGTTTGTTGCAGGTAGTTTGTATGGTGCTTGCTCTGCTGGGGGTTTAGACGGTTTTATATGGTTAGATTCTGATGAATCAGTTGATCGTTGTTGCGATACACTTGAAACACCAGCTGATGATGAATGTGATGTTTGACGGGTAATTGAATGATCGCAAACGGGATCAGAAACTCCTGATGTCGCTGGTGCTGATAAACGTCCTGTCGGATATATTATCAAGAGGAGATATCCAACAGCTGACAAAAATGAAGGCGATAAGAGAGAAGTCTGGGGTACTGACGCATAGAGCGGAATAGAAATCAGGTAAGGCACGTTGTTACGCTTCCTCGTGTCCGAACGACCATGAGTTGTCATGCGACCCAAGTTTGCAGCCTGACTGATATCACTTGGACCCCATACATTGGTTGGAGAGTACATTTGTTTTGAATTTCTGGGCAAGGTATGCCACGGTTCGCTGCTGCTACAGGGGTGCCAGAGGTCTGCTGTGGGTGTTGAGGGCGACCAGATTTTGAGTACCGCATATGGCGAACGAACGGACGTGCGGACACTGGTGGACCTTCTGTCTTTATGTGCTGTACGACGGTATGCGTCGGTTTGCCATGTTTGAAACTCGGTCGTAATAAGTCTGGAAACTAATTAGGTAAATTGACGTATTTGTTGTTATTGTCATGAGGTTTGACTAATAAATGTATGGAAGTCTCATTTGATATAATTTCTCTGATTTCCTTGCTGTGATCGGCAAGGACAAGTTACCTATTTCTGACGTCTACCAGTATTTTGTGGAATTGCAGAAATTCAATGCCGATTATGAGAACGAGGAGGTCCGCTATGATGAAACTCCATGAAAAATTAGATTTAGGACCGAAATTTAATTGTAACCGCCTTTTGCCGTACGTCTTGATGTCAGACCTGTTTGCTGCTTGTAGTTTTAGTTTGGGATCAGGTATGTTTTTCTCGAGTGTAGTGGGTGGTACTACACTGACCTCTGCCCCTGCGTCGACTAAAAACTGTGTGCCGGTTCTTTTGTCGGTAACATATAATAGATGGCTGTCTTGAGGGTTGTGGTCAGTGACTAAAGTCGTCACTAACCGACGGTCTTGACGTTCCTTTTTCTGTGTTCTTGCGAAGCTACAAGTCGGAGTACATTTTTTAGCCAGTTTGCCGTACGTTCTATGGTACCAACAAATGTTGCGTCTGGTAGTGCTTGGACTATGACGTCTACGGCTTCTGGATGTCCCTCTACACTAACTGTGAAGAGTATTCAATAATTAGAGCTGGGCTATCTGTTTAGTGAGGGCATCAACTGTTCGTCTTACCTCGGCGATCTCGTCAGTTGAGCTTGATTGTATGTGAGATACAGAGTGAGTCTTAGACCGCTCGTAAATTCTGTCGGTCATATGTGCTAGACTAACAAAATCGCCATCTTCGTCTCCAATTGCAAGTATCTGTTGGATGTTTTGTGGAAAACGTCTGAGCCACAATTGATATAATAGACGTTTATCTACTGTACGATTTGCTAATAAATTTGTCATGTGGCCTTTTAATTATGATGGTGAACTGTCACCTTGCTCCACATTAGCTAAAAGTTGATCGATTGTCTGCTGGTCGGTGAGAGATGTAATACGAATGACCTCTCTTTTTAGACAATCATATGGTGAGTCGGGATCCGGCTTAAAATTCATGTCAGGCACTTGTTCAATAACGTCGTCCGGTAGCAATGAGTTTACGTAACCAAATTTCGTGCTCTGATTTGTGATTTTGCTTGCAACAATAAAGCTTTCTAAGCGTGCAAACCAGAGTTCGGCCTTTCGCGGATTAAAGACAGGTAAAGGTACAGAGATGGCACCCACGGACATAGATTTAGATTAAAGGCTTAGCGAATTATCAAGTGTCATGATACGAAGAAGCAATAGTAATAATAAACTGACGATTGTAATATACAATATGAAGAAATCAAAAATAACAAAAGCAAATGTATAAGACTCACCGAAAAGAAAACCTGTCACCTTGGGTTTAAATATGCGAATATACAGCAATAATTCCAAAGGAACAATGTTATGGGTGGCTTTATTATGACTATCAATGAATTGTTAATAACTGTAATAGTAATTCCAATGTGAACTTCTTTATGACACGCTTGGAGAGTATGCAGCAGACATTGTAGAGAAATGGTGCGTGTTCTAAAAGCGGTTCACCAAATGTTGAGGTTAGTTTCCTCTGTATCTGACTCCAATAAATGATATCCCGTTAACTGAGTATTTTAGGTAGGCTAAATCTCTCAGTAGGATTATGGATTTATTCGAGATTATTCAGAAGCCTGAACACCAATTGTAGAGATATTTTTATTGTTAAAGATAAATAAAATCCACAAGGGTACAGAGAGCAAGCACACTGTGAATCCACGAGAGTGTGTGTGTTTGTGTGTATGCGAGTTAAAAATCCATATATATATATATATTTGAGTGTCAATCAAGTGTGGATAAATTATTGATTATCTGTATGTTACAACCAATAGGAGAATAGATTAAGGATTGATGTGCAGACACACGCGCTCAATCATACACACACAGAAATTAACATGGTGAATTACGTGTTTGAATTACATTGAGTAGACAAATAATACAGTAGTTGAATGGGCTTGCTACATAAGCTCCCATCCAGAACATTGGTATTTTGATGGTAATATTAGTTTAAACTTATAAATGAGATCATCTTCATTTGCAAATCACTAACTTCACACCATCGTAAACTACATAAAATAACTGATCATATCATCTATATTACTAATAATTGGAAGGAAAATCCACTGTGTTTGATGCATATGTTCCAATAACCACTCATTGAACCGCTATTGAATCATATAAGTCATTCATAAGTTGACTAGATAGTAACTTATAATTCATCTAATAAACATTAGAACTGTACCAATCTAGTAGAATAGTTCTATTGACATTTTAGATGGTAGTTGGAGGTAGTCAACAGGAAACCCTGGACCCGGGTTTCGTGCTACTTGGCACTCGTCAGCAAGGTGTACCTGTAATCTTGAGGGAACTGGTGCTCCCTGGCGGATTCGATCTCGTGTCACCCAGCTTCACAGTCAGAGACGTTAGCACTGAGCTATCCGAGCCGTGACTAACCTCCTGTAGGACTGAGATGTAATCACATTGATTGATCACTGGATGGTGATCAATGTCATGCTTGTCTAGTCCTTATTAGTGCAGATCGAATGCTATCGATCATGTTGCAATGTGGCCATCAGTCTAGGTGACTCGACACTGCGGGAACTATGTATTGAGTAGCACGAAACCCGGGTCCAGGGTTTCCTGTTGACTACCTCCAACTACCATCTAAAATCTCAATACATAGTGCCCGCAGTGTCGAGTCACCTAGACTGTGGCCACATTGCAACATGATCGATAGCATTCGATCTGCACTAATAAGGACTAGACAAGCATGACATTGATCACCACCCAGTGATCAATCAATTGAGAATATTTCTATATTTATGGTACTGAATGACACTAGAAAACTGAGTTAAAATTAGTGGAAAATTCTGCCAATTTTGATCATGAAAGTTGTGAAGATCATCTCACATTTTAATTAGTTAATTTAACCAATCCTTATGAAGCTATTTACTTCATTTTAACCAATTAGCTAGTCACAAAAGTGATCTTATCGAAAAAACGATTTTAATTGCCGGTTTCATGCTAATCATTCTCAACTTCATTGTATCTACTTGACAGATCAATCAGAGGTTTTCTGATTGTTCATTCTGGAACTTAAACGAACAACAACAATCAAATGCAAATTATAATTGTATATCTTGTGGGGTATTTCCAGGGATAACTGATGAGGGTTATCGAGGAATATTATTTGCACAACCTCCTGAATCATCACCGGGAAATTCTACAAATCAAATCACAAAAATATATTCAGGAGGACAAGTAGTATACATTTCTTCGATAATCAGATGGAGATTAAAATAATACACCTTGCTGTGAGACTGATGGTTCTTCTGGTGACCGTTTAACTAATCCGACTGCTTCATTTTCAACTTAACTAGGTTATATAAATCCTTCTTATGGGAATACTGCACTGATATGACAGGTACAACTATTTTACAAATAGATTCTGAAATTCGAATGCAGAGTCCCTACATTGCCGAGGATTCTTGTTTGCAATATCCTCTAACAGAGTATTTTCCACTTATTTCATCAGATAAATGATTTTTCATATCAATCCAGTAGACACAAACCAAGAACTCATACATTCTATTTTTATAATCCTACTTCTTGTCAGTCAAATGACTTTATCTGGAACTTCTTGACTGTTCGGATTTATTAAATCAGATTCACTAGGAAACTTGATATGTCGTCATTTCCTTTAGTTATCTCCTTGAAATAACTTTTCAGTTAATAAGAGTGTCTAAGATATAAATACTTTGAAATATTGGAAATTCCTATCTTGTAATGTAGAACAATTCAACATATAAGCAAACATGATTTGTCTCAGTCAGATCTTTATAAGTCATTGTTTAAATATACAGTAATATTTATATGCATATTTATTAGAAGATAGTTTGTGAGATAATGATAGTGAAATAAATTAAATAGCTAAGTAATAAGTAGGAAGAAGTGAAGATTGATGTTGTGATGATAAATGTGCCAACAATGGTCAGGATAATGAGGGTTTCAATTAAGGTTTCGAAATAGGAAGAAAATCATGGTTTGGTGAACAATAACTCAAATCGATTGGCGTCCGAACAACATAGCAATCCCGAAAAACTATTGACATCATTAAGGCTTCTTATTACTTACTTCTTTGTAAAAATCAACTTTTAAAAACTAGGTTAGTTGTTTCTTTCGATATAATTGTAAGGACATTGGAAACTGATATTGATATATGTGTATTCTGGAGGAAAATCTTAAGGTGGTCAGCCTCTTTCATACAACAACTACAGCAGAATGAAAAAAAACATTTCACAAACAGCACAATTATCGGAAATTGAAACATCAACAACTGGAGCATTATCACAAAATCAGCAAAAATCGGATAATGTGTAAGACATGGCATCGATGATTGCTTACAAAAATGGTGTAGCTAAAACTCCTACCGTTAACGTGACCAAAGGTGGGAAATTCAGAACTCACTACGGCAATAAGTTGTCTTATTAGAATTTGTAAAAAGAGGTACAAGAATGTTCAGTATAGGGCATTTGTCGACGTTGTAGCATTTTCATATTTTACGTGACGGACTGATCTTAGCTAGATCATCATTGGAAACCTGAAAGTACTGGACGAACATTTCGTGTCAGTATAGGAATCCTCAGCAGTGGATATCCACGACACTTCACGTGACAATCAAACTCAGGACCTCTATGCTAATAATAAACATGTGTTCACTAGTGATCAGATTTAAGATGTAACTCCAGGAATTCTAGTGTATACTCATAATAATAATAATAATAATAATAATAATAATAATAATAATAATAATAATAAAATAATAAAACTTTGAAGTGATGAACACTGATTCATGTGTTGAAGATGAGACATCGGAGAAAAGAGATATTCAATTAATTAATAAACTTTTGAACTTCTTAAAAGCCTCTAAAAAATGTTTCTATAATCATAATACTGGCTGATAATTTCAAAATAACCTGGAACAGATGAAAAATGTGTTTTGTTTATACCATAAAAATCTGTCGACATTGTGAAGGCCAGTTGTTTGTTTCTTTCGACTAACTTGACCAATCCTCTTACTGTTACATTTTCATTTCAGCCAATTGACTCATCACGTTAGTGACCTAGACGAAACAAAAATCAATCTATTAACAGTTTTTGTGCATAACACACTCACTCTAAGTATATCAGATTAACTGATGGATTTAGATTTCTCTTATCTCTCTGTGGTGGATAGCTCAAATGAGACTCAACAATCTAATACAAATTATCTAGGTAAACCTCCAATAGAACATGCTTGTTTATCGATAGGAAGCTCAATAAATTCAAATAAAGCTGAATATAATATGGATGGAAAAATTGAAACCACGTTGTGTGAATTTTCCGGACAATCAGACACACCTTTGAGTGTACCTAGTGTTTTTCCAAATGTTCCTCTGCTTGCATCATGTCAGTTTAATGACTTTTTTGGAACTTCCAGAGTATTTGGTTTTGGTGAGTCAGTTCCTTACGAAGATATAGTAAGTTGTTACATTCATAAATGATTTCGTCTGGATGACTTTTCCAGTCATTTTCGTTGATTATTCTGTTCATTATTTATCCATGCATCTTTGATTAGCAATTGAAATTCACTATACTGAATATCCATCCAGTCTAGAAATACTTTGTTTCCTATTGTGTTTATGACTTATTAACTTTGGTATTTCCAATGGCCGTTGTGTTCTTTTACATCAATTCCAAACTCCACATTTCCATAGATTCTGATTCATGGGAACTTATTTTCAGTCGGTCAATTATTTATTCTATACGGTGGTGAAGAAATGATGAAAATATAAATTTCACTATGTGAGGCTTTTCAGAACAAGACAAAGTGAAATCCTACAAGAACTCACAATATCTCATCTCTAAATAAATAATTATTTAGAGAGACTCAGTAGATTTCGATAGTTATTTCAGTGTAATTGTGAACTTTAATAAATCTTAATAGTTGAATTCATGAGACGATCTAAGCTAGACAGCTATTCAAAACCTGGAAACACAGGACGATCGTTTCGTCGTAGTATGGAGACAGTTAGTTACCTCAGACAACGGATGAAGAACTGCACAAGATCATGGATCGACTGATGTTAGACGATACCACCGTTGGCTGTCGGCTCAGTGATCTAGAGGTGAAGCGTTCGCACGCGAGACTGAAGGTCCTATGTTCTAGTGCAGTGCGCGGGATTGTGGGTGCGCACTATTGAGGTGTCCCATACTGAGATGAAACGGCCTATCAGTACTTACAAAATCGCAATGCTGGTTTAGCTAAGATCAACATATGAATTCAACTGCCTAAATTGCTGCATTCTCCACAAATCCCCATTCCGATTTTAATGAATCCTTCCAAGTAGGCATATCTGTACAAACATACCATGCTGCTAAATAATTCTTAATTAACGGTTAACAGTGATAGGAACTTACAGAGGTATTGATCTGATGAATATTAATCCACTGAACAGTGTTTGTAATGGGTGTTCGGATTATGGGTGATATCAGTCAAGTGATATCAAATGTTAAAATGTATGTGTATGTTTACTTATATTGATAGGTTACTTGAGGTTTTTATCGAGGAAATCATTTTTCATTTCTGAAACTGGAATGCTTCATTTAACTCCCTACAGTTAGTGCTTTATTTATTTACATTATAATAATACCTTCATTTATGTCAAATAGATCACTGATCACTTTTCTTACATTTTACCACAATTTCCATTTCTCCATCTTACGAAAACTTGGAAGCACTACATGGTCTTTTCGTCCTGCCTAAATGTCCCATACTGGGATGAAACGGCCCTCCAGTGTTTTCAATTTTCCAGGGTGCTCTAAATTAAATCAACTCATGAATTCAACCATTAAATTATTATTATTATTATTTTGAACAAGGAAAGTGAATTGAATGAATTTTCAGTTAGAAGAATGGTTCATAAATATAAGGGTCATTTAAAAACCTCAAGCATTTTAAAGTCATTTAGCATGCACAAGTTACTTTCCAAAATACGTCACTGTACTATCATGCTTCTGTTTTACAGTGAGTTTACATTATTGTGGAATCACTTTATCTAAATACGTTGAATATTATTTTAGGTAAACAGTAATAATTTGATATATATCAACACTATTGCAGATTATTTGATTTAAACAATCCTACGTTGTAGCTGACTGACATTTTACTTATTTGTCAATATCCATTCACCTTGATCTTCGCTGAAACCAACTCTTACTGTCGAACCGGGTTTCACTGTTGAACATAATTGCGAACATTGGGGGAATCATATATGGAAATTTTCGGTAACTTAGTGGAGAATTATAGAAGTTCTTCAACGTATAGCAATTCTACAAAAATATAGATCACTGTACGGAAAGAATTTACCTACCAAATTTATTTGTAAATTAATTGGATGTTTTAAAGTTTGTTTGATTCTACAACTTACTTACTTGCTTGTAAATATCCATTCTTCTAATGTTAGATGAAACCAACATTAACACCTAAAGGAAATTTCTGTGTTGAACGTGACTGTGAACGTTTAATGAATGCTATGGATAGATTAAAGATAAGAGAAAGAGAAACTGTTGATGTAATGGGTCGTCGACCTGTTGTTCAACGTATAGCAATTCTACAAAAATATAAATCTCTGTATATAGACAATTTATTCGCCATATTTAATTCTATATTAACTGGATGTTTAAAAGATTGTTTGATTGCGTTGTGCTATACACCAGCAGAATTTGATGCAATAGAACTTCATAGAGCAATGAGAGGAACTGATACTGATGAAGATACAATAATTGAAATTCTTTGTACAAGAACAAATGAACAAATCAAAAGAATTAAGAATGTTTATCCAAAATGTAAGTTATTAGTTAATAAAATCATGAATTATTTATAGTGAAGATTGGTCACCATAAATTTGGTTAAACTGAAGAATCATTGAGAATACAAGGATATTAATCAACATATGCTCACTAGTGATTGGCTTCAAGAGGTGTTTCCTGGACATCTAGTGAGAAGCAGTGACCAGTGGAGTTCAACCGAGTATGTTGTGAGATAGTAACTGATTAAAGACAATGGTGGATGTGTCGCTCAATATCGCGGATTAGTTGAAGTTAGACATTAACACCATTGGATACCATTGGATCTAAATTAAGGATCATAATCAAATGAAAATATTTCACTTCTATAATGTACCTTTAATGTTATCCATCTAACCATATGGGTATATGGTAGCCATTTCAATATATTTCATTTTGCTAAGGAGAAATACCGTGACATCAACATTTGAAAAATTACTAACTGCTACTATTGTGAAGCAAACTTATTCCTTACGCAACTCCATGAGTTCACTTGGAAAGTAATAATCATGTACGCAATTGGAATAGAAGATGTAAATTTCATTTTATTTCGAACATGTCAAGTAGATATACATATATCTCATTTTTCATGTTCACACTGTGATTATAGTTCAAAACTTGTTTCAATGTGAAAACAAACAGTGGAATTCAGGAATGTTCATCTAATGAGTCTGATGTAGGAAGAAGTGAACCGCGTGGACTACACTGTAGTCACAATTCATATTTGATAAGAAAGAAAGAATGAATGAATGAATGACTATTTGAAAGATTCATTCATTCAGATTCAATAGATTGGTCAATTATAAATCTCATTATGAACAATCACAATTACAATCCCTTGAAAATACTATAATCTGGACATACTAACTGTTTCTAAAGTTGATATTAAAATTCTTAATATTCATGGAAAACAAGTTGTTTCTCAGAGAAATTAAATGTTACAAAGTTTGAAAATTCAATTTGTCTACCCATTATCAGAATGGGGTGTTGTAGATATTATAGTAATTTTAATAGTTGAGATCATGAGTCAACTGAAGGTGGACCACCATGGAAAACCTAGAAGCACTGGATGACCGTTTTGTACTAATGTGAGACCCTCGGCAGTGCGCATCTACGATCCCGCCTCGCAGAATTCGAACCCAGAACCTATCAACGTAGCTTCAATTGACTCATGATCTCAACTACTGAAATTACTATAATATCCACAAAAATCCCTTCTGATATTAATCAACATATGCTTACTAGTGATTGGCTTCAAGAGGTGTTTCCTGGAGTTCTAGTGAGAAGCAGTGACTAGTGGAGTTCAACCGGGTTTGTTGTGAGATAGTAGCTGACTGAAGACAATGGTGGATGTGTCGCTCAATTTCGTGGATTAGTTGAAGTTAGACATTAACAACATTGGATGCCGGCCGGCTCAGTGGTCTAGACGTTAAGCACTCGCGAAGCGGGATCGTGGATGCGCACTGCCAAGGAGTCTCATATTAGGACAAAACGGTCATTCAGCGCTTCCAGGTTTTCCATGGTGTTCTAGCTTCAAATGACTGATCACCTCAACTCTTGAAATTACAATTTATCAGCATAGTTTTACATAATTTCTATGGTCAACATTGTTTATTTTAAAATAATGAGTAATCATTTCCAAACTATGTAGATCTTCACACAAATACAATTAAGTAACCATCTTGTGTTTATTGAGAAAACCTCTTTGAAATGAATTTCTTAAAGTTCTAAGATGTTTAAATTTATGTTTTAGAAGGAATTTATTGTGGTACGATAGATCACAACAGCTTACTTCTCCATACATAACTCATTCTAATCACATCACATTGAATATTTCAATTTATTTACCAATTAGTGTCATATAGATTTAAAGATGTAAGATATGTATTCACGATATATCACTGTTTGACACTTGAATGTATATTCGTTCTCTTTATTGGTCAATATTACCAATTCAAATCTATTCATTAGATACTAATTGTATATGCCATTGAACAAACTGATAGATACATGTTAATTTTTATGGGCGTCTGTTCATTTGTACTGTAGTAGATAAGGATACAACTGGGGACAATCGGATGTATTGGAACACAAAATTACAGAACAACTTAGTAAAGTCTCAGAACCATACAATAAGCACTTCATTTGCAAAATGTAAATCAATCATCACAGACTTCACTGTGCCTTCATTTCCAAAGGAATCATTCTCCTATCTTGCTCAATTTTCTTCAATCTTCTTAACTTTCTGTTGTCATGTATTTCACTTTCGATTGATGGTACATACTACTCATATCTGTCGACATCAGTAGCACACACCACAGTACTTCTTGGATTATCAGAAATTATGTAGCTCTAAGATCCTCATAATTTACATTGTGAATTTTTGAAAGTTTGTGAATACTACTTGCTTTGTATTTCGAAATCAATTTCATCTATTTCGTCCAAAAATTGAGCAAAATCTGATCACAATCCTGTTTAAAGATTTATGATATTACAAGTCTACTGAAATTGAACGAATTAAAACAGGATTGAAATCTATGATTCAGTAGATAAAATTTAAATGTTTCAACTATCATTACACTGTTCTACCTTAATTATGAATTGTACATGATTTGTTTAACTAATTTATTGTTGACTATGTTGGAGAGATCCAGAAAATCCTTCGGAGAAAGCCCAAACAGGCTCTGAAAACGTTGAGAAAACCTCTTATCTAATTAACATTCAATAACAGTTTTTCCAGAAACATTTAAAAATTGAAAATTCACATGCCGTGTTTCTAATTGGATCATTACCTATACTGCTATTATGTTTAGTAGAGCTCCAGTATTGCCTGGAAAACAAGGCCATATAGAATGCTATAAATAAATATCCTAGAGTTTCTGTACATAAACAGACCTTTGGAGTAAAACGATTTGTTCCATATTTCTCATCTTTTCTTTCGTGTTCAAGTTGTTATGTAGATTTAGTCCGGGGGTTATTAGAGAGCTTAGGAAACCAAATCTAGCGTTCAATTAAAACACTTATCAGATTATTTAAGAAGCCTGTCATATGGTTATATTATTTTTGTTTACTTGATTAATCGTTCATTAAAATAGTGACCATATATAGTAATGAAAGCATTCATTAGTTTAAATATACTTACCTGTTTAAAAATAGCTCTTTTCATATTCTATTTATCTAGGTCGATATGAAAGAAAATTAGTATAGTTTTCTGTAAACAACAGTATTCTTAACTGACAGTTAGTATATAATATTAGCTTCTTCTTATTTCACTAAAACATTTGAAATACCATAGTTATTGACCAGTTGGTTCGACCTTTAGCTCTAACGTAAATGTATGCATTGCTCTTGTAGGTTGCTGCGTTAAGATATTCAATGATTATCTAATCATAAAGAGATAATAGAAATGTAAATCATTGAATATCACCTATGTGGTATAAAGTTGAAGAACTTGCCACGATGCCTGAAAACCATGAGTCTGATAAGTGATATGATTATGAATGCGTACTGCAGAAAAGTCTCACATTTTGGTGAAAAAGCTGTACGCTAAATATAGGCTGCAATCTACTGTGTGAGATAACAAACCAGATCCCGGTGAAGAAGAAATCAGAATGAAGCACTTGAAGTGGATAGAACACACATTGAGGAAAGCATCAAACTGTGTCACAACGCAAGCCCTCTCATGGGATCCTCTTGGCCAAAGGAGAAGTGGAAGATCAAAGATGGTTGGCGGCCTATACTCCATTGGGAGTAACAGGCATATGAAAGTAAGTAAGTAAGTAAAAAAGTAAGTAAATATATGCTTTCAATGCTGATTTAGCTGATGTCAGTCAGTCATGTAAACGATAAACAATTTTTTCGCTTTTTAAATAATAACCACGTTTTTTCGTTAAATTTTAGTATTCTATGGACGTGATTTAGAAGATGATGTGAACGATGATACTGAACATCCGTTTAAATCAATATATTTAGCTTTACTGAAAGCGAGTAGAGATGAATTCACATTTATAGATGGAAATCTTGTACGAAGAGATGTGGAAGAACTACTTAGAGCAATGAAACAAGACATTAAAATTGATGAATCAAAGTAAGTGTACTGTTTTTACTATGCCGGAATAAATATTAGACAAAAGGGAACTTTCGGAACGATCCAATCTGAAGTTATTATTGATGTTTTCGCTGTACTCTTATTAAATACTTAAACTGTTACATTCTTACACTCCTCCAATTTTGTTTGACGCACAAATCATTGTTTTGTCTTTTACATTTCCCAAAGTTATTGTTAATTCATTACAAACCTAATACTCAGTTCCTTCCCATTTATGGTGCGGTTGTGCTCATATTGTAAATTCCTAATTCTGTTGATGTGTTGCCACGATTTTGCTCTATGTTACTGTATGAGTGATCGAAAAAATTCGAACTGTTTAGTTGGAGGTCATCTGTCTGCTGAGTTGTTTTTTCTTTGTGGCTATCGGGGGAGTAAACGTGGAAACTGCATTCCAGACAAATAGTCATTCAGTTGTTATCTCACATTTAGCGTATCATCCGTTAACCTGATGTAATTGGTACTAGACGTCAATCTAAATGAACTAATCAATACATGGACCAGATCAATGCAACTACTTTCTCGTCTTACAGTTCGGTCATTCAAGCTCTAAATAACTGAACAAAAATATCTGTTTATTCTCCTCCAACACATTAGTTTTTCTTTGCAGATATACTAGTATGATTTATTGATCCTACATAGCTCTTACTTAGTTTGTGAATTTCGCATTGAAAGAGAATTCCATTTTATAAACAGAACTGTTGTGACTTATTATAAATACTTGTGTTTGTGTGAGGATTCCACTTTCACTCACTTGTTTGCTTCTGGGCTACGTTTAGGTCTCAATTATTTCACCATAAATGCCTTACTTTTGTAAAGATCGTCGACTAATTCACGAGTACAAAGTATGAAATTTTACTGCGAATTAAAATTCCCAATATATATATATCTCCTATGTATCCATCAGTCCCGAAATCTAACTAGAACTCTAGATACATCATTGATTAAATAATGAATGTGATCCTCTAATCAATTTGAAGCAACATACAACACGTTGTTCTTTTTAATGAACTGGTGAAATAACTTTTTTAATATCTTCACTTATTAGATTCATGCCTATCTTGATTACACGATCCTATGGTCACTTACGAGCTGTATTCAATGAATATTCGTTACATAGTGAACGTGATTTGGAAGAGGAAATGCGTGGACATGCAATCGATTGTATACTGTCTATTGGTAAGTAGTCATCACTATTATGTATTCAAAGGAATTGTGAGTTGAATAATTAGTATGCTCTTTCTCCTGTGCATTTTGAAGCGTACTGCTGCAGAAGCTTCTGTCACACTAGTTGCTCTCATCTGCATTTGTTTGTGTGTTTGGGATAGAAGTGTCAGTTCATCTGCAAAGTCCAGATCTTCTAATTGATCCTGAGCTGTCCATTGTATTCCATGTTTCCCCTCAGATGTTAAGATCTTCATATGAAGAGAAATTCTACTTGAAATTGAATAACTTTAATCTCTACAATTACTAGTTAACATGTAATAAGGTATGACGTATTTGTCTAGTGTTTAGTATTGATCAATTTCTACTAATCAACGAGATTTAATCTGATCATTAGTCTAAGTGAAATAACATTGTAGATATCATGTTTTTGACGTAAGATAGTTCTGGCTAAGTAGGGACAATTAGATGTATTTGAACACAAAATTACAGGACAAGTTAGTAAAATCTGAGTACCATACAGTAATTACTTCATTTGCACAATGTCAATCAATCATCTCAGACTTCACTGTGCCTTCATTTCCACAGCGATCATTCACTGTTCTCGTTCATTTTCCTTCAATCTTCTCAACTTTCTGTTGCCAGATACTTCACTTCGATTGATGATACATACTACTATATTTGTTGACATCAGTAGCACACACCACAATAGCACTAGGCTAATGTATTTTTGATCATTTATCACTTACTACATTCCTTGTTGAAAACTACCAGCAATTTGGATTGTTTGGTCTCATATTAAGTATAATTAAGTGAGCAAGTAATTGTTCTGTATAATGAACTTTTTTTGCATTTCTTACATTTACTTATGTATATTTCATTAATTAAAATTCATTTCAGTCCGTTGTATACAAAATAGACCAAGATATTTTGCTGAAAAATTAGTCAAAGCTACGGAATATGCAGAAAAAGATTATGGAACAATTAATCGAATTATTGTCTCTCGTTGTGAAGTTGATATGGGACGAATTATGGAAGAATTTCTTGATTTAAAGGGCGAACCATTATATAAGTGTATAGAAGTACGTATAAACAATATTTAAGAAGTAATAATTTGCAATTATTATGATCCATTTACTGAAACTTAAACATGGATACAATTGCTAATATAGACGGATTAGCTTAGTAAATACCATTATCTCTTCGTGTTTATCTATATCCCCAACGTAATCGGTGTGAACAATAATGCTGAATATTACTGAGTATTATTGCTTCAATAAAATACTTCTCGAAAAACTTCTACGTTCATGACTTGAAGTGCATACATCACATTTGCAGTCTCACAGTCTATTGATTCAATACACTTCAAAATGCTTCCGAAAACAATGACAATTCTCACTTAGTCGAGTTTTACTTAAAACAAGTTGTGTTAAGAGTCGATTGTTGAACATCAGAACTATCTGAAACTATTTCTATGTGAAAACTATTTGTCAATTCATAGTTTAAACTATCATAAGATTATTTCTTTTCCCAGTTAGGTGACCTACGTATTGTATGACGGTTAGGAATTGATTCTCATTGAGAAGTAAGATGTTATTTCAAACAATTGTGGACACATTATACTGAGACTGATACTTAAATTAACACTTTCTGATCCTACACACTACTTTGTCCTTGTTTCATGTGATGTATTGTAGACTAATCGCTTGTTGAATCATTCAAATGAAGTTATTTTATCCACATCGATTGTCGGAACAGAATGCATTCACATTTTTCCACGTCATATTACAAACTACATTAATACATAGATTTTCACCCGAATCAGTAGAAACTAATCGAACCTCATAAAGTCCGTAAACGGTGTGCAAACACATCATGAACAAAAGGTTCATGATATTGTTACGTTGTAACTGAATAATCCAAGGTGTTTGTCAGCTGAAAATTGACACAGAAATTTCATGGTTGTATTGTATGTTGCTGAAACCTGATTATAACAACAAATTGAAGAGTTTCGACATGTTTCGAAATACAGTTCTAAGAAGACTAGACCATCCTGCATCCATGTATAGATGTGTGCGTGTTTGTCTGATTTGATGATAACGTCAGATCACTTCGGAAATGAATCCATCAAACAAGAACCTTCATATTTAATCTCCCACTATTGTTTCGACTAGAGTATCTTTCGTTTTGGTAAATCCTAGTGTTCAATTGTGGCATACTAGTTCGACTTATGTGAATGTATGTCATATCCTTCATTGATAATAATTGATGGCGTAATTTGTAGCAAATTTTACCATGCATTACTTGTGCATTGAAGTTATTTATCAAGTGATCAAACGTGATAAAAGGAAATAATTTTACAAATTTTATTTCTCAAAAATATTTTATTTCAGTGTTTTAGAAACGACTCATCAAACCAGATAAAATCAATTTTTGTACGACATTTATTGAATTGGGCACTGAATAATTATCGATGTCTGTTATTGAAGCTTATCAACGGATAATCTACTTACCAATTACATTATTAATCATATATTTACATTGATTAAAGTCATCAAACAATTACGAAGTTATTCTGTAGACGTCAACGATTTCCGACTTCACAAAATACATTTGTTGACATCGTTCGATTCACAATGAACAAAAGTATTTTCATCGTTTAACAAGAATTGTATTAACAAATGAAAATATTATTATTCACACTTATTTTCTCCCCCTATCTCCTCTCTCTCTCTCTTTCCGTCTCTCTCTCTCTCACTCTGTCTTTACCCTATACTCCATTTGATTGATCTCCTCACAAAATGTAGTAATAAGATACGTTCGCTTAACTATTCTGCTTAAATGAATACAATTATTTTGTTATAAGATCGATTTGTTCAAGTTTTCATTGAGAGGAGTGAGTGGTGTGAAGCAAGTTGAAAGATATTAGTTTATTCAACTGAATGATCATTAGGTTGTTTATCATGAGTCCCCTAACATGTCAAATCGTAGAACAACAAAGGAAAGATAAATTCAGTGTTACTTCAGGACTTTTAAACAAATCATGCAGCAAATCGAACCGTGACTTCTTCGTGTTGTGTATTGACCAGTTAGAATGAAATATGCATGTTTTAGAATGCATTCTGTTTTCGACCTAGTAATAGACATTGATTAATCTGGTGAAGACCACCTCGTTGAACGAATGTATTTCCCTCAACTTCAGTTTACTTAACATTAATCCTCATCCTCCCAATAATATTTTGTGCTGATTGACAAATTATGAATACTTCAATAAAGTAATTGATAACTGTATTCCTGATCAGTTTGATTGCTAAATACTTGAGAGTGCATTATCCTATTTCTTCTACTAATCTGAGTCCATTCACTGATAATTAAACTGAAACATCTGTCAGTCTACACTGATCTGATGGTTGATATCAGTTTACAGTGGGTATTATTCACCATCTACTTAAATCTCGTAATTACAACACAATCAGGATGATAAGATTATTGTCATAAGTTCCCGTATTAGAAACGACATGATCGAATGCTCACATAATAATAATAGATTAACCAGTTAGCGTATTCAACAGAATTCCTAACTGCATGAAAATATTTTCACCTGTGAAATAATCTGAAAGCTCATATAAATAAAAGGAAGTTGACAATGATGTGTTCCAGAAAGTCAGCGAAGTTTTCACTTTCACAACATAGGACATCATAGAACACAACACCATGAAGAGCATTCACCTGACGTGCAAATCATCTCCAAAAGTTATTGAGGAACATATTACGCAAAGCATTACATATATAGTCAAAAAATACAATTTAGGTCTTGGTTTTCAATTTGATGGTAATGATAACACGAGTGGTAATCGGAAAGATAAGTTCAATTAATACGATTTGGCAATAATATACAACAATTTGTCTAAATAACGGTTCTGTTTTAAGGAATATCCATAGATTGATTACAACCCTCAACTAGTGAGACATATGCGATGATTCACTTGTTTGCTAGTGTGGAAAAAGTAAGGCTTCTTGTAGTAATAAAGTAAAGAGTAATTACAACATACAACAGCTTAAATAACAACTGATAGCTGTGTTTAGTGTTAACAACAGTTACAAGTGTTGGGAGGAAGTAATAATAATCTATCTATCGTTTCAACTGCTCCTGTGGAGCCAGTTACATAGGGCGTACAATTCGACAGGTCCGTCACCGCATTACAGAACATCATCCAACATGGCTAAGCAAAGGACAGGTGAAAGTGATTATAAGTTCTATTCTCTCTCACTTGGTTGACACAGGTCATTAAGTCGAATTGAATAAAGCTTTTAAGGTTATCTACAATATTCCATCAAATCTACCACACGGTTTACGAGTGCGCCTTTTGCACATTGCGGAAGCTATCGCAATCCATGTTCACGAACCTGACCTTTGCATCCAAAAGAAATTCGTACAACCACTTTCTCTACCCTGGCCTTCAGTATAAAATTTCCGTCAGAAGAACTATTTTTCATACTTCTTCCATTTTTATTTTTATTTTAAAATTTTTGTAGTTTTGTTTCTATCGCTTTTGAGCCTTATAACTTCTCAACATTCATTCTTACGTAACTACTATCCTATTGACCATCCGGTAAAATTCTCTTCCTTCTTTGTTTCTTATATTACGCAACATAGCAACTTCTTGATTACTTTGAATATTAATAATCCTCTTTCTTCCAATTACTCAATGTTAATTTAAATGTCATTATGTAATTATTACGTAACGTATCCACTCGATGAGTATTATATTATTATTGTGAAACATATATATAATTGAAAAGAAATTTCTTCGCTCAATTCGTTCCTTCTTTATTTATCAAATGGCAAAATGGGAATTTTCACTATATTAAATACAGTGAATGCTATGAGTGTATGTAATTAATTTAGGATATTATATGACAAACATGAGTCACATTGTACGCTTATAAAGTATTAAGGATAGAACTGATTACTGAATGTTTACAAGTAGCATAAAGCAATACAAAGATCAAATGTAATGAGGAAAGAATATGGAGAGAAAATGCAAACAAACTTGACCCTTAATAAGAAAATTTTCACTTTGTCGTTGCGAATGAACAATGTAGCGGAAGGATTATAGCGCCCTTACAGGATATTGATAATCAAAGAGAATATAATCAAATTCGAGAGCTCTGAATATCTGAGTCCTAATTCTACCATAGGATAAAATCAAGGTAGCACTTTAACATTTGTGGAGTAGTCACAACATACCAGCTGAAGCACTGAAGTCACACAAAGAAGTAACTGCAAATGTGCTGCACGTTCTATTCAGGAAGATTTGAGAAGAGGAACGTGTACCGATGGACTGGAAAGAAGGACACCTCGTCATGATTCAAAAGAAAGGAGATCTGAGCAAATGTGAAAACTACAGAGGCATCACACTACTGTCAGTAACAGGGAAAGTCTTTACCAGAGTGTTGCTGAACCGGATGAAAGACTCAATAGACGACCAACTTCGAGATCAACAAGCTGGATTCCGTAAGGATCGATCGTGCACAGAATAAATTGCGACACTACGGATCATCGTCGAACAATCAATTGAATGGAACTCGTCACTGTACATCAACTTCAGTGACTATTAGAAGGCATTTGACAGTGTAGACAGGAGGACGTTATGGAAACTTCTTGGATACTATGGAGTTCCTCAGAAGATTGTCAACATTATCCGGAACTCATATGACGGACTACAGTCCAAGGTCGTGTATGGAGGACAGCTGACAGATGCATTCCAAGTGAGGACCGGAGGCAGACAAGGCTGTCTACTCTCTCCCTTCCTCTTTCTTCTGGTGGTCAACTGGATTATGAAGACCTCGACATCTGAGGGAAAACACGGCACATAATGGACAGCTCAGAACCAATTAGACGATTTGGACTTCGCAGATGACCTAGCCCTCCTACCGCATACACACGAACAGATGCAGATAAAGACAGCCAGTATAGCAGCAGTCTCTGCATCAATAGCCTCAGTATACACAAAGGGAAAACCAAGGTCCTCAAATTCAAAGCGGAGAACAGCAATCCAATCACTCTTGATGGAGAAACTCTGGAAGATGTAGAATACTCCACATACTTGGGAAGCATCATCGATGAACCAGGAGGATCAGATGCAGACGTTAAGTCGAGGATTGGCAAAGCAAGGGTCGCATTCCTACAATGAAAGAAAATATGGAACTCAAAACAACTTTCTTTCAATATCAAAGTCATGTAGTAACTTGTTTTTATCACGAGAACACGATTGGTTTAATGAAAACAATTATTATTATAACCAATTGTACCAGTGACTGTTTAATGTGCTCTTTGTTTAACTGTGCTAAAAACATCCATTATTCTTACACTTTGATTGTGACCTCGCGCGAATTCGTTTACGCTCTGTAACCAAGCTTGTATCCTGGCACGATCTCGGTATTCTTTCGATACCACGAGATCCCATCAAATATATCTCGAAATGACCATTAACTGCCTTCTGATATTTCGCTTCCGAGGGATTTTATGGACATCCTGGCACGCGTTCCTTTCTGGTGGTGTTCATAGTCAATCTCGACTCGACGCCACGCTACAGTCACAATCTTCAATACGAACGTCAAGGCAGTTCTACTGTATGGAGCTGAAACTTCAAGAACTACTACAACACCATCAAGAAGATTCAAGTAATTATAAATAGCTGTCTACGCAAGATACTGAATGGCCGGTGACCGCATACCATCAGCAACAGCTTACTATGGAGGAGAACAAACTAGATTCGGACTGAAGAGGAAATTAGGAAACAACGTTGGAAGTGGATAAGACATAGATTACGCAACTCACTAAACTGCATCACGAGGCAAGCGCTAACTTGGAATCCTGAAGGGAAGCGGAAAAGATGAAGGCCAAAGAACACATTACATCGGGAAAGAAAAGCATATGTGAAAAGGATGAATAACAACTGGAAAGAGCTGGAAAGGATTGCCCAGGACAGTGTTGGATGGAGAATGCTGGTGAGCGGTCTATGCTTCTTCACGATGGGAAGCAGGCGTAAAAAAGTAAGTACAGAAGAACTCACTGTCCTGACATTCGTATTGAAGATTGTGACTTTGATATTGATTGACAGTTGTTTTGAGTTTCATACGTTCTTCAATTGTAGGAATGCTGTTTTACATTTTCCAATCATTGCCTTCGCGTCTGCATCAAATCCTCCATATTCATCGATGATGTTACCCAGATAAATGAAAATTTCCACCTCTTCCAGAGTTTCACCGTCAAGTATGGTTGAGTTGGTGTTATCCGTGTTGTATTTGAGGATCTTGTTTTTTCGTTGTGTATGTCGAGGCCTTCGATCGTTGGTGGAGTGACAGTTATTGGAAGGTTTGTGGATGCCGCTTCGATGGCCAGTGAATTCAATGATGCTGATCTAGTCAAGAGTTCCTCAAAATGTTATACCCATCTTTTCTTCCATTCTTAAATCTCAGTGATTGGCTTACCTTCTTGATCCTTGACAGATCTCTCTGATTTACTACATTTCCCTACCAGTTTCTTCGTTGTGTCATGTAGTTGTTTGTTATTTCCTTCTCTCGTAGCCTTTTTCGCTGTCGTTCCTACCTCTTCCACGTATTTCTGCTTGCCGGCTATAATACTCCTGTACGCTCTCTCCTTCGTTTCTGTGTATTCGGCCTGTGCCTTGACTTTCTCTATTCTTGTTAGGCTGTTGTTAATTGCTGCCTTCTCGTCTTTCTTTAATTAAATCCTCCCCACGGTCTCCATAGAGATCCATTCCTTATGATCATACTTTTTGAAGCCCACAACCTCCTGGAATACTGAAGTCAGTGCTTGTTTGACCAGTTCACAGTTGGTCTCCATAGTAATTTCCTCTTCTTTCAATAGATCTTATAAGA